AAAGAGTGGTATTGATAGGAAGAAGAGAACGGGAAGTCGAGACAAACCAGGAGAAGAGAAAAGAGGGACGAAGAGTGGATTGGTTGGTAACAGTGAGTGTAGGCAGGTAGGGGTGGGGTATGAGTATTTTGAAAATTAGGGAGCAATAAATGTAGACCTGTAGTGGTTGTGTGTGTGAGTGGTTTGTGTAGAGGTGTATTTGTGTAAATGTGCTGTGTATGGGTGTGTGTTGTATGGGAATGTGTATTGGTGTATATGCTGTAAATTTATGAATTGTATGGGTGAGTACTTGGTGTAGAGGTGTATTTGTGTAAATGTGCTAGGTGTGAGTGTGTGTTGTATGGGAATGTGTTAGTGTATGTTCTGTAAATATGTTAGGAAATTTGAGAATTTCAGGACAATGTTGATGGTTTAGTAATAGCTTATGTTGGAAAACCCAGCGTGGGGGTTAAGTATGCGAGTATGTGGGGGCATATTAAGTAGGGACGAGGTCAGATTGCCTTAGAGGTGATTGAGCTGGGGGACGCCGATATTGGTTGTCGTTACCTGAAAAGGGTAAGTCGATCACCGATAATGGTGATGGTTGGGGGTTCCCGACGGATAATGTGTTGAATCGCCGATGTTGGTGACAGAAGGAAACAGTTCTGGTGTGTGTGGGTGGCCAACAAGGGGTCGAGTGATAGAAAGGTAAATAATGGTCGCCGATACTCGTGACAGATGGGGGTAACCGTGTGGGTGAGTGACCGAGTCAGGGTCGAGGGGGTGATGTCAGGGGAGTGATTACACATAGTATGAACGACGATTAATTACTGAGGAGACGTAGTAATACTGTAGAGTTAGAGCGTAGGAAGAAAGCATGATTTAGGTAACGGGCAGGGAAAACATATAAGATGAGGTTTTAATTGGGTTTTTATATTATACTTGTGATTTAAATTTACTGTACTGAGTTATATGTACTCATTATCTATTATTTACAGATGAAGTAGGACTGGAGTCGGGATCGGAGTTACCTGTAACACCAAAAAAAAAAATTATTATTATTTTTATTTTTTAAATTTAATTTATTTTAAATTATATTAGAATTTTAGTTTAATTTTGTATATATTTAATTTATAAGGTTTTAATTTAATTTAAATTAATTTAATTTAATTTAATAAAAATAAAAATAATAATAATGATAAAATAGGGTAAAATTATTTTTGGGCTTAATTGAAATTGATTTTGGGAAAAATGGGTGAAAATTTGATTATGAAAGTGTTTTTGAAACGAAAATCAGAAACCGGGAGTCAAAACGCAATTTAAAAAAATTGAGCCACGTCAGCAGTCCCGGCCAACCAGGACACGCCGCGTGGCAAGGAACGTTGACGCGGGACTGGGCCACGTGGACAATTCACGTGCGCGCGATCGGACGACCCATATCCGTTCCTGCGCGCACGGACGGCCCAGATTCAATCAGGCACGGACGACCCAGATCGCATTGCGATGGACGGTCTAGATTTAATTCCAAATAAATCACGATCGGACGGTCCAGATTAAATCTTGATGGACGGTTGAGATTAAAAGGGGAAGGGTATAAATAACCTCCCGCAACCCGACCACAAAACCCTAGCCGCCAGTGCCTCACCGGAGAAGAAGAACCAGACGCCGGAGGAGCCGGTCGCCGCATTGGAAAATTTTTCGACCGCCAAACGAGGTAAATTTTCTCCTATTGGCTTGTTTTTCGATGCTGAATCCGCTTATGGCCAAATCAGAGCCAAACCACCGGCTAATCGGCCGAAAAATACCGCCGAAGTCTAGCGGCGCCGTCGCGACTTCCCTCTATTTTTGCCTCCGATGAGGCCCTTCCCGGTCTCCGTTCGATGCAATTTTTATACCACTATGATCACCGTCCTTTTCTCTACAGGTTGACCGGAGCAAAACATCAAAACGCGACTCGCGCCGGAGAAGCCGCCATACCCGAGAGCACCACCGTCGGTAAGTCTCAATTTTTTGTGATTTTTTTGGCCCACCGAAGGCCCTAGGGTTGTTTTGTCCCAGGAACCAATGCAAGTTTGTCCGAATTCGACCGAAAACGGCCAACACGTGGCGGATCGCTGCCGCAGGCGGCGGCGCCGTCACCGGAGCACGACGGAGCCGCCGTGCCGAAATTCTGATATTGGCTGAAAGGGGCCTTAGGTCTGATTTGGAATTTTTTGGGACACGTGCAGATACCGGTAGTGCGTTTCAGTTTCCCGAAAAAAATCTAAAAAATTTAGGGACAGCCCGTAGGCACACTATAGAACCGATTTTAGACCCCAAAACAAGTAAGGATCTCTCACCCTACCTCCTATCACGACATTAAAGCTTAATAAATAATTAAACGGTATTTTGTGACTTTATAGATATGTGTAATTGATTGAGGTTGCCAATGGAGCCCGAATCTGATACATTCTTGGTCAGTTGTTGTTTGATCTATTTTTCTGTATTAAATGCAGTATGATATTTGATGTATTTATTTTATGGTCTCGTATGCATGAATCATGGTCTTTTTTTATTATGGTTTGTATTATGGTGAACCCGATATTGTGTTATCTTGTTTGGTGTCAATTACTAGTTTATATGGTTGTATATGATTGGATGATTGAGACCAATGAAAAGGGCAAAAAGGTTATGTGAATTGATAAATGGATAATGTGGACAGCCTAACTATATATCCTGGGAGATGGTGGACGGACTGGGTCCGTAAGGAACCCTACCGGGAACGTGGTCTCTCATACCGGATGGGGTATGGAGACCTTATGTGTTTTGGTGCCCATACCGGACGGGGTATGGCGACGACTCGTTTCACCCGCTTGCTCGACGGGGTATTGAGGA